GGCCAGGCTGATCTCGAACTCCTAACCTCGTGATCCACCTGCCTTGGCCTCCCAAAGTGCTGGAATTACAGGCGTGAGCCATCATGCCCGGCATTAGTTTTTCTTGGTTTCCTGTTCACCGGACATACAGTTGAGGGAGAAGAATGCAAGGACTGAGGAAAGTTCTGGAGCAGAAAAGCCTTTGTTTACAAGTAACTTGGGAACCTGCTAGAGGAAAACTTGTATGACTTGAGATCACATTATTTAACGTTCATATGATATTTCTGTTTTTTCCAGTTAATTCTGTTTAGTAGAGAAAAGTAATTTAGTCTATAAAAAAAGAAGTTAAAATTTTTAAAAATAACCCTCCAGTTTATAAACTGAATTTTAATCTGCCAGTAAGTATATCCACGTAAATATGTAAATTGATGCATAAAGCAGTTGATTATCAAGTGTGCAAGAAAATGTTACCTATTAACTCTGATATTAATTTCAATCATTAAAAATAGTCATGTAAAGAAAGTTAATTATTTTACAGAATGATTGCTTTATGAAAGGGAATGTTGTGATTTACCTACGCATTCTTTTATAATTATAATTTGTAATTAAACATTGCAGTGTTTTCTGCCCTTAAAAACAAATGTTGACTTTAACAGCTTCTTTTTAGCATAATTTTATAGTTTTTCACAACATGGAGTTTTTAAAACTTAATATAAAAGGGAACAAATAAAAATTATGGCAAATCAAGCTAATCTTTTCAATTAGATATTTTGGAAATTAAATTGCTGTAACTGATTTGTTGTATTATGAAGCAAAACTTCAAGTGAACATTTCTGTTTTCAGTCTATCAGTCCTAAAAATGTGGCAGTTTAGCTAAGACGTTTGATGTGCATCAGTGGAATTATTTTTAATTTTTACGTATAATATTTCACTGAATTTTTTTTCATAATTTTTGTTGACAGTTTATATTCATTAAAATATATATATATATATATTTGGAAAAATATATTCACAGGGAAGAGACGTAATAGTTTTAACATTATAGCAGTTACTAAAGATAAGCACCTGAATAGGTTTGTTAAGAATAACTATTTCTCAGGTGGAAAAATATTCCATCTTTTCAGGATGTCCTTAGTGTTCTGATGGTGTAATAGTTGGATATTTTAATATTCCCGCCTGTCATTGGCCTGGATTCGAATCATGAATGTGGCGGTTGTTAGAAGGAAAACTTGGGACTGTAACGTCCCCCAAATTGGGAAGGCATCGAGAGACCAAAGAATAATTTGGGCAAGTCCAGCTTGATGAATAGATGAGTTTACTAGGATTTACATACTGGACTTTTCTGGGCAGCTCTGGAGTCAACCTGCCTCTTATCTCTAAGCTGTTTTTAAGCTTATATTCTGGCTATTTGCCTACTGTGTGTGCACGATGAGACTGTTTTGCTTGATATGTTTTGAGGTATGCCCTGGGATATTTGGGTTCTCAGGGACACCTGCCCCTCAGCTAGGCATTATGGCCTTGGCTCCCTGCTGAGCCTTCAGGGTTCAAGCAACACATATACACCAGTAACCTGGTGGGGGACATACCACACTACAGTTGTTGATATTGCTAGTTGTGGTTCGGTTTCCCCCTTGAAATGGTGCATTCTGTGAGACAATGGGAGGTAAGTACTACCAATTACATGAATCCAGAGGTCCAGATTAGCCATTAATTTGGGTTAGAACATTATTAATCACCTATCATTTGCAGCGTATCTCTATGCTATTACATAAAGATATACTGGTTCCTGCCCCTAGGCAGCTTGCTATCTAGAAGAGGAGCTAGCATTTATAAAATAACTTATTGAAGTGATTTAGTGATTGTTCAGGAGATGGGAAGAACATTGAAGGAA